CCATATGTATCCATCAAGCTCGCGGATCTGATTGAGAGCATACTCGGTCTGGTACTAATTCTCCGATATTGGGTGTCTGAATTCAACGAAGAATTGGGGAAAACTCGTCGGTGACTGCTGCAGCTTCGTCCACTTTAATTTGTACCCTCAACGATCTTGGTATCGAAAGTTATACGTCTGACTAAAGCTCACCGGACCGTAACCTACTGAAATTGAAGTTCGTCGAAACTAAAGCTCACGGTTAGGTCGATGTATCTTCGTTTTCTTCCTAGTCGATCTCTCAAGCTTTATGCTCATATCAATAGGTCGCTGAAACTTTGACATTGAATCGCTGAGACTCTAAACTGAACTGCAAAGCAATGAGACTAATTTTGTAACCTGACTTTGCTATTGAGATACGAGGGATGATAAAAGATTAGCTGACTGTTTGGTTCAATAGATAAAATTAATTTTGGTGGGAGTTATAAAATATGTTGTTTGGTCAAGTGTATACAGGAAAACGACAAAAGGGCAATTTAATCATTTCATTCATTTATTTGTTTTTGTCAGCCGACAATGTCTGACAGGGGGGTTTGACTGAATTTTTGCAAATGTGGGGGGGGGGGGGGGTGTTTCTCCTTGAAGTTTGGACATACCTCAAGGGGTGTAACTGAAGTTAACCCAAAAAAATTCGGCATGACCTCTGCTAAAAAAGGGTTTTACCACAACCTATTGAAATGTTTTAAATAAAAAAAAATGTAATGGCCTCACTTGGCCATAAACTAATCTATCATATCCCAACACACAATGCAAATAATAGAAAACATTCCCAAAATAACAATATACATATAAAAAGAGTCCCGTTCCTCTAACTTCTTTAAAAAAAACATGGAAACGTCAGTCCACTACCTAGTCCCATACTCCTTTTTAAGGAACATACTCTAATTACGTCAATTTATAGTTCATGAAATATCTCTGAAATCAAAAGCCAATAATTTATAACATTATATAAATTATACTAAAGTGTGAAGATTTATATTTACAAAATTTTAAAGTTCTAAAATAAAAATAGCAAAATATAAATCTCCAATCCCATCTAAACTTGTGAGGGATGGTTGTCCGCTACCTCCTTTCCGTATCCTGAAAAATAATAATAATAAAGGGGTGAGCAAAATTGCTCAGTAGGTGGTGCCTAAAACACACTTCTTGTGACCCCATGAATCCAAGCAATGAATAGAAATAAAGGGAACGAGATCACGCTATACCGAGGAAGAATACAATACAATTTCAAGGCTAAAAACCAAATAATGTCATGCTATGAAATGCAATGCCGTGCTATGTCACTCCCCATTTTCAAAATCCAAATCCATCACTTTTCAAACTGTTAATATAATCCGTCTATTGGTGACTCTGCAGCGACACGAGAGAAGGATTGGCTACTGTCCCTGACCTTTGATACCCCCGCGGCATCATTTGGGGCCCAACTAGCTCAACCACGCTAGGGTGATTTTCTTAGTTTCCTCTAGGTTATATTAAAACCACGGCCTTTTGGTGACTTCGCGGCGACCAGGTTTTCTTAAAACCATTTTATTTAAATAAACTCCATAACATCATTCAATCCAATTATTACCTCGTCAAAACATACAATACAATTATCTAATGCCTGAGATCTCGAAACCATCCTCAATCATTCTATTATTCCTCAATAGAATCCCACATTCACTTTCTCTTGCAAATTAGCACTCAAACAACACTAATATTTGTCCTCAAAACACTGTTCGAATCAAGCGCCTATAAAAACATCCAAGTGCACGACTCATATCACATCACCTAATCATCCTCAAACTCACAGTTCATGACTCATCCCCTAGCCATCACTGCTAGTACCAGACACTGGAAAACACATAATCCCTATTAGGCAACTCGTGCCTCATACACCATCGGTCAAGACCACTCTCAGAACAAGCACAACTAAAACCAATGACTCCACCTCCCTCTATGGGAGTGAGTTGACCCATTCAACCAAATCTTTACCGGTGAACTTTAACAGCATAACAAACCACACATGCTTCAGCCCATCTGCGGATGCACACAACTCTTAAATGGAGAACAAAACTCCCAACAAACGACGTCCTTGCTAGGACTAGAACAAATGGAAGGGTAACGAACTCCGCTCTCACAAGAGACTGACAACTCGTACTTGAATGCACCTGACACCCTGTCACACGTTGTCCATCAATCGTCTAACCGTGGACACCCAATCTCACCTAAGATGAACTTAGCCCCTTACACACAAGGAGAAGAACTGGATACCGGTACGTAACTACGAACACTAATCTAGGGGATCTCTTGCACTAACGGACCGTCATACACAATCAACACTGGAACCTTGCATACGCTACCCCGCAACACCCATGCTAACCAAAACCAATCAGGTAAGAGCACCGACGCTCACGGCACACTGGCACCAAAAATAATCACTGCCCTTCGGACACCACGTCCCATTCTACCTAGAATCAGTTACCCCCCACCGACAACCTCTATGTCGTGAAACAACACAACGACACCAAATCCCTCTCTACCTTCCCAGGTGATACTGCCTCAAACATCATGCACACAAGACCCGTGACCTTTGTCACAACAACCCACTGACTCATCAAAAGAAAAAGGTGCCTATCTGGCAACATCATCCTCACTGGCTCTAAAAACTAATCCGACCACAATCGCCTTAACTGGCGCACAATCCCATCACCTACCTGACAACATACAACAAACAATTTATAATCCCCAAACCACATTCAGGTCATACCTCAAACCATTCTATTCATCAATACGAAGACATCATGTCACAACGCCTCTACTACCATCATCCTCGAATAACAACTCGAACTCACGTCCCACCGACTCAACAGGCTACCGCCAAGCGATCCCCCACAAACATCCCTAGGATAACACCATCACAACAAGAGAGTATGTTTCACTCTCGATACTCCCCACAGTAACCACTACTTATTACCAGAAAAATGACCTCTATACAGCAATGCCATGCCGACAAATCCCAAAGGAAAAATGAGCACAAAACACCAGAATGCTCAACATCCAAATGTCTCCTCAAACCATCTACAACATAATCAGTCGTTAACACTTAATCGGCTACTCCGACCATTCTTCCTAAAACAATATACATACTCAACCAAAGAAACCTTATGCCCAGCTGTCAACACCATCACTTTCCCCTTTTACCGTTCCTCAGAACACCCTTGGCACGACAAAAGTCAAATGAGGCTACCAACTAGACCTACGAGATCACCCTCGTCCCAATCATTCTAATCATCAGTCTATCTCTTCGGATCCTCAAACAACCAGCACTATCTCCTGATACCCCAGACACAATTGAAATACAACCCTAGTCCACAACTTTCAAATTCTAAAGCATAGTCCATGTAGCACACAATACCCACCATCTATCACCTTATCTACAATCGACCAGCACTTTAATGACCCCATACTACCTACCTTATCGCACAACCTTGCACTACACAAGCTAAAACTGACCACAATACCTCACCTCGAGACTTTCTCGACAATCGTGACAACCTATAACCCTGCTCATCCACCGTGTTATACAATTAACCCACCGAGAGTTAATTACCCGCAACACGCTCCTATAGCTGTCTGAAATGAGGATCACTCCTCAACTAACCAGTTTCTAAACACAGACTCTTTCAAGACCACACGAAATGGTCCACATCCTGCAATCGGTCATCCGGGACTGCCATGACTCCAGTCAAAGCCTACGTTACCCTAGACCTACAGAGTCCAACAAGTCCTTTTAACAGTCGTAACCGACACGCTTCCTCGGACCATACCAGAATACTATAAATACACGTCTACAACCCTTAGACTACACATACTCGTAACTCAAGCAACCTCTATCACACCTACCACAAACCAGTTCGAAAAAAACCCTTGTACCAGACCGTGACCTTAGTCATAAATACTAACTTCTAAAAGTTATACACACCTCACGAAAACCTCACATCGTCAACCTAACCTCCACGATCACAGGAACCCACGCGCCAACACATGAAACTCATACGTTTCACCCTAGACATCGCACTATGCCATAACAATCATTCGATGGTGGTGCCCCAAGTATTACGCCCTAAAAACAACGAGAAAATTGAAGCAACCATGCACTAAATAGCTTGATCCACGTGCTAAAGACCTAAACCATTCGTTCGATAAGAACCGGCACCCAAACAACCCTAGAGTAACCGAGCTCTTCCCATACTCAGGTCAAAAGCTACACAACCATCAATGCTACAATAAGTGCTCCACCGTACTAGCAACCATCCCGTACGCAACTGTATGTACACATGTGAATATACATACATAATAACCGTACCCCATACCATGATATAAACGTGTCCCATCATTTAAAAGTAAAATAAACACCCCGTCTTCCATTTTTTTTTTTTTTAAATACTTTTATAACCATGCCTAAATAATCGTCATAATACCATACTAGACATACCTGCACCTTACGTGCTCACTATTTGTCACATTATCATTTAAAATAAAATTGTACACACCGTGCCTACTACTTGCTGTTACCACCTAAATCACATTTGTCATCATATCATAATTAATATGTTTTTAATTATTTATATATTTCATTGTCATAACCATATAACACACATTTTAGTAATTAAACACGTAAGCATGTGAACACTTAGCAAATAAGCATACCTTTTAAAACCTTAAACACCTAATCAAGTAAGCATGCTTCTCAAATAACAAATACTTTTAACACATAAGCACATAAACAATGCAATCCACCTTCTACATAACCCTAGGCAGGCCTCTACCAGTTGTCCTACTGGTTTTCGAACCTGGCTCTGATACCAAATTTGTAACGACCCAAAATGATACCAATCATAAAAAAAATTCGGTATGATCTCTGCTAAAAAAAGGTCTTACTACAACCTGTTGAAATGCATTAAAAAAAAAAAAATGTAATGGCCTCACTTGGCCATAAACTAACCTATCATGTCCCAACACACAATGCAAATAATAGAAAACATTCCCAAAACAACAATATGCATATAAAAAGAGTCCCGTTACTCCAACTTCTTTAAAAAAATATGGAAACACCAGTCCACTACCTAGGCCCATACTCCTTTACAAGGAACGTACTCTAATTACGTCAATTTACAATTCATGAAATACCTCTGAAATCAAAATCCCATAATTTACAACATTATACAAATTATACTAAAATTTTACATAATAGTGAAGATTTATATTTATAAAATTTTAAAGTTTTAAAAAAAATTAGCAAAATATAAATCTCCAATCTCGTCTAAACTTGTGATGGATGGTTGTTCGCCACTTCCTTTCCGTGTCCTGAAAAATATTAATAATAAAGAGGTGAGCAAAATTACACAGTAGGTGGTGTCTAAGACACACCTCTTGTGACTCCGTGAATCCAAGCAATAAATAGAAACAAAGGGAACGGGATCATGCTGTACCGAGAAAGAATACAATACAATTTCAAGGCTAAAAACCAAATAATGTCGTACCATGAAATGCAATGCCGTGCTATGTCGCTCCTCATTTTCAAAATCCAAATCCATCACTTTTCAAACTGTTAATATAATCCTTCTGTTGGTGACTCCGCAGTGACACGAGAGAAGGATTGGCTACTGTCCCTGACCCTTGGTACCCCCGTGGCGTCATTTGGGCCCAGCTAGCTCAACCACGTTAGGGTGATTTCCCTAATTCCCTCTAGGTTATCTTAACACCACGGCCCTTTGGTGACTCTGCGGTGATCAGGTTTTCTCAAAACCATTTTATCCAAATTCTCCCCAAAATCCCTTTTTCTTTCATTTCAAATCTCTTTGCCCTTTCCTTTCATGTCCAATGCTATGAATGCATGTCACGTACTTTTCCAATAATATGAAAATAAAGGAAATTTACATTACACAATTTAACATGCTTCTTCATAACAAGTTCTAGGAAATTAATAAATACCATAGGCATAGAAATTAACATTTAGGCATGCTTTTCATATAATTCCATCAACACACATAAACATAAATTTCAAATACAACAATTACATCATTTTAGAAGCAATCAACCCAAATTAAACATGCTTGACATCAAATTTTGAAAGAAAATTCACAAGAGAACAAGAAATTAGGAACTAGAAACCCCTACCTCTTAAGATGCAAAAACTCCAAATTTTGTACCCTAATTTCGAAATTCCTAGGGTTGGCCAAATAAGAAATGCTTATATCACTGTGTAGATCTCAACAAGCCCTCTAATTTGCCGCAAACGGCTCCAACAAACTCAATCAAAATTTGAAGCTTTGAAGAAAATGAAAAAAAGAAAAAGAAAAAAAAGAAATAGAAATAGAAAGAGAGAGAAGGAGAGTTCCAGCCAGTGTGCCGACTCTTGGCTGTCTGCTCTGTCTGTGCTCACGATTCTCTGTGTCCCCTCTAATTTCTTTCCTTCTCAGTTCTCAACGCTCTCTGTATCCTTACATAGTACACACACCCCCCTCAATAGCGCACACATTATTTGAAGGCTTATCTACCAACAGTACAACAAATATCACAACAGCTCACTCCATCAGACCACGTGAACAGCCCAAGTCCACTTAACTTTGGCAGTAAAATTCTTTGTGAGTCCCGCCAAAGCATCACCTTATCACAATCCTCTCTCTCTTACTTTCGGCAGCCCACCTGCTGCTATTTTCCACTTTCTTCCTATCTCAATATTCCATCACACATAAACACATAAGATTGACTTAGTCAAAAGCTTGCATTAAACTGATACACCATATATATATATATATATATATATGACTAACAAAACAAGCCATAGGACCCACCACCAACATTACCAATCTTTCCATTTCTCTAATTTCAGCTTGGACCTTATCTTCTCCATCACACAAGGTACAATATGTATATACATATATATATATATATGCAACAATTAAATCAAACAAACTGAACAGATGATTGACTTAGTCAAAAGCTTGGATTAAACTGATACACCACACATATATATATATATATAACCAACAAAATAAGCCATAGGACCCGCCTAGGGATGACAAATTCCCTATCCTCGCCGTGCCCCGCCCCGTTTATAGTGAGGATAGAGATCCTTTTAGCTAAATGGGGATAGGGATGGGAGCAATTTATCAATCCCCGCCTGGCGGGAGCGGGGGTGGGGTTAGGGTAAACCCGCCCTAACCCACCCCGATTAGATGTGAAGTTACTAATATACCCTTATATATAATAATTTATTACTAAATTAGATTTATTATATATATGAAAATAAGAAAAAATATGTTTTTTTAATAAATAAATAAAAAAAAATTATGAGGCCGGGGCCAGGGGCAGGGACGGGGATATAGTGTCGGGGGCTCGGCGGGTATGGGGATTCTGGCAAAATTTTAAGCGGGGATGGGGAATGAAAAATGCATCGGGGATGGGGATGGGGATGGGGAATGGAATCCCCGCCCCACCCCACCCCGTTGCCATCCCTACACCCACCACCAACATTACCAATCTTTCCATTTCTCTAATTTCGGCTTGGATCTTATCTTCTCCTTGAGACAAGGTACAATATGCATATACATATATATATGTATGCAACCACTAAATCAAACAAACTGAAACATTGACCCTCAATTGGGTAAATCCAATTATAATCAAATAATTAATTATGAAAACCAAAAATATAATGAAATAAATTAAATCTTAAAAATTCGGGTTGTGGCATTGATAGTCACATCTCCATTCGAATCTCTTGATACTTTGAACAAATTCTAATGTAGATGTGAGCCAACGGATAATGATACTTGACGTCATGACGGAGGCAGCGCAGGAGCTTGCTTATGCTAGAACCATGAAAGCAAAACATCAGCCAAGAGCCCTCATATCAACCACTTTAGAGACTCAATCGTGGTTCATTCCTAGTAGTGTGGGCCTCCTGAAGCTGGTTTGTGGAAAGAGATCTCACAAACGGGAACTCTATTAAATTGGTCAAACTCGTATGAGAGAGAACTTCCCCCAAAACGGGGTGTGATCAAAAGAGGAAAGACACGCAGATGGAGCCTCCAATCAGCAAATATACTAGAAAACCAGGTGGAATGGTCCCAAAATAAGTTTCCTCAATATGCAGCAGCACTTATGCTTCCCGCCATGCAGGGATTTGACTTTGCTGGGTAGGGACTTTATTGTACTGGGGAAACTTATTGTACTGCGTGCTTCCCGCCATGCAGGGATATGCTTGGTGTTTGTATGAAATGCGCAGCCATGCATCCAGAGGCATCTGCTTTGGCCCTTCCCCAAGTGGATATGTGAAGTTCCAGGTACCTTACATCTTTCATACATTGACATAGAGCAGGATCCTGGGGGTTGTGCCTACGGGTCAATGGCATGTGGCAGCATGGAATTTACTATTTAAACTGGTCCATAAGGATTATACAAGAAAAATTATGTATCAGGTGATTAAAGTGGTAGTTTTTCTTTGTCACTGAATAGTAGTAGGTTTGCCCTAGCTTGTTTTGTTTTCATATGCTTCTGACATATGTTTCATATACAGTAGCGTTTTTGGTCAAGGATCTGTTTGTTTGTTTGTGGTATGTTTTGATTAGTTTAGTTGACTTCAAACAAGTAATGTTAAATTATGTGCTTGATTTCTGAATTTAAATGAATAGATGAAAGTTCCATGCATCTATACGGATATGTTTGTATGTGGTTTGATCAGTTTGTTGACTTATGATTATTAATTTTTTTTTTTTAACCTGGCAAAGACAAACACAACAAACCAAAAAACAACCAAAACAATTAAGACCCAACGTCCGCTACAGCAAAAGGGGCAACGGACGGAGGTAGAGATGACAGCAGTTGATCCAACCCAATCCCAGGCTGCGAGAGAGCTGCCAAAGTATGAGCCACCTGATTTCCTTGACGACACACATGAATCAAAGTAGCATACGAAAACCGTCGCATGTCCCGAGTAATATCAAAACATACAGAAGCAATTTCTGACGGACAAGTCCCACCATTCAACACCCCATCCACAACCACTTTTGCATCCGACTCAAACCACAGGCTAGAAAATCCCAACTCCAAAGCACAAAGGATAGCACGCTGACACACCAACGATTCGGCCTCCAAAGACGATGAAGCGGAAAAAGGACAAAAAATAATCGCTTGAAGCACATCCCCAAGAAAGTCATGGAAAATGGCGCCACCGCCCCCTGCAAAGACTGCCGAAAAAAAACACATCAAAATTGCACTTGACAATGCCCGAAGGAGGAGGAGTCCACAAAACCATTACAGTGCGGTCTGGGCCTGGCTGCAAAGATAAACAAAGTAATCGAGCATCATGAAACTCCCAATAAGCGACGACAGCCTTCTGCACCACAACTTCAGACCGTATTTTTGGACAACAAAGGGAAGATCGGTGGATAAGGATATGGATTGCCATCGATCAAAACTCCCAATCCAACATACCGCTTAAGCCAGGAACCCATCCAGGCTGACCACCCACAGAAACAGCTAAGTTGAGACTGGATGGAAGAAAACCCAACCGAAAACATCATGGAGAGAACAGAAAAAACTCTGATGAACAGATAAACCTCTACAGGGAGAGAAAAAACACCTCTGATGAACAAAGAACAAACAGAAAATTAGTTGAAATGTTATTTTGCAAAGTTGTATGAAACTGGTGAGGCAGTTGTCTAAATAGCCCAATATAAATTACATATGTCTTTTAAAATTTTAAGAAATCATGATTCTACTACCACCCACCACCGAAAATATAAATAGAAAGTTAGTATCCCCAAAAAATAATTTTATTGTAGACTTAATTTATGGTCCAAAAATTCATAATAGATTTTATTTTGGCCTTTCAAAATATTTATTAGCCCAAATAAAAAAATATAGATATTACTTCATTTGCATATAGGGCTATATAATATTCATTATATGAATTCAGGAGAGAAAAAAAAATTTATACAAATGTGCCTCATGTCTAATAAAAATGAATAATTTATTTTTAATGATTATATATATATATATATATATATATATATATATATATAGTTGATACCCACACACCCATGCCTTCATTGAGGTTATGGAAGAAGCTTGGTACCACTAGTATACTAACCGTTAGTTATATGTTAATATAAAGTTATATGGTTTAAGACAAATCGACACGCATCTTCAATTAAATCTGGTTCAAACCCATAAAATATATTTGTATTAAGATAAATTTTTTAAAATAATTAATATACTCAGACATGCACACTTCTACAAATATTGAACCCTCAAACCTAATTTTTTTTTTTTTTTTTTCTCCAAAAGAATGGAGGACATACCATTCAAGTCAAAACCTTTAACTAAGTTATATCACTATTTATATATTTTTTCGACAATTTAACAAATTTTAGCAAGATGGGGTAAAAAAAATTGAACAATTGATTTGTACAATAATAAAAGTTAGGATTGCTAAACATGAAAACACTTGTTCATATATCTGTATTTGATTCATCTCTCTCAATCCTCTGGATTTATATAAAACCAAGAATGAATAATGTATTAATTTATATAATTTACACCCACCACTTAAAGCACGCCAAAATAATAATAATAGAGAAGTTGTCCAATTGAACAAGGAAGGGAATGCGCCAGATGGCATTCAACCATTGGTAACTGAAATGCTGATGTCACTGAAAATGAGTAGAGTCTCTGGGTACACTCTATAGTATTGACCAACAAATGGGTCTAGGCCACGTGGCTACTTTTATCAATTACTTATTCATATCGCAATATGTCACAAAGATAAAGTTACGTGTAAATACGTAACAAATTGTTGTACGAATATTTTTTAATGATTATTTATGCATAATACATATGTAATTAGAATATCTTATTTTTTTATTTACGCGATTTGTTATAATGAATTGTCAGACTTATTTATTTTAATCAATCCATTTATGCTTAAATAAAGAAGTGGCGTTCAGCTTGGTTCAAAATGTAGGAACTAGCGCTATGGTGTCGCTTTTGATCTACTCCCGCCCCTCCTGCGCTCTCCATTTATATATACTATGCATAAATAACTAATTAGAAACATTCGGTATAACAAATCAGTACAAGTATTATTATTCTTTTTTTAAAAAATTACACGCAAAGATAAATGATTTTTTACTGCAAAATTTCAAAGTTGTTTCACAAAAACAAGATAACATTTCATTTGCTTTAAATTATAAATATATTTTATTTCTTGATTGACAGATTTATTATCACTCATTTGTTGTATAAATATGTATTTGTCTTGATAAGTCAAATCCATGTTGTTGGTAATAAGTTACTGAATTTCTTTTTTTTAAAAAAATATAGTTTATGATTCGATTCGATTTGATTCTAAACAACAACAATTCTGATTTTAATTTTAAGTTTTATAAATAGTTGAGAATCGATCTAATACCGATTTAATCTAAAATTATAACGAAACAGATCCTGTACATCTTTAAGAGTTTATACCATGGTTGTTAAAATCGCGATTCCAACTCGTAGAATCGTGCGATTTTACGATCCAAATGCTCAAATCGATCCGAAT